GACGCAGGGTGATTTGAATAGCTAGCCCACCATCAGATGATGGTGGGCTAAAAATCATAAGCCAAAAACGTAGCCATGTGTGAAGTTCAGTAGCCATTTTTGTTTTAAACAGTGGCCATACTTTCTTGGCTTCCAACCGTTACGGGTGGGTCCTCCATTAAAATCATTCAGTATTTAATATTTTTTGAAGTGCAATACTATTCAACATGATGTTAAAGGAGTACTCTGTAAAAGTAAAATTTTGTTACACATCTTGTTTGTAATTTAATCCATAATGTGATATTTTTTGTAATACTTTCAGATTATTGGCTGTAATTATAAGAAAATATGACTTAAATTAAATTGCTGAAAATTCCCACCAGAACTTTTAACATTCTTTTCAAAAGAAAGTGAAGTCGGACTTGATCTCATTTTCTTGACACAGGAAAAAAATATAGGTTGAAGTTTTCATTTTAGCATATTATTTGCCTTTAATTGTGAGCTTATATGGTCTAATTCCGTGCCTTCAATCTAAAAATAAAACAAACAAAAATCCAAACCAAAAGTAGCCTCGGTGATGCAATATTGATAATTATTTTTCCTGTGAATTCAGCGTAATTCATGTTTTAAATAAAACAAGAGGCACATGGGCCTTAACGGTCACCTGAGACCTACAGTATTTATTTTTGTTGTTGAAATATGTACCAATTTGAGTAAAAAATAGTTAACGTAACGTTAACTTAAGTTTGTCAGGACCATGAGTCGATTATTCCTAGACAGAGTTTCAGTTAAATCGGCCAATTAGAACTTGTTTTTAAGTCTGAAATAGTTTTTCAAAATGGCAGCTGTGGCAGCCATATTGGATTTCTGATTGACCTGAAAAATAACAACACTTTGTCAGGACCATTAGTCGATCATTCCTACAAAGTTTCAGTTCAATCGGCCTAGCAGAACTTGACTTTAAGTTTGAAATAGTTTTTCAAAATGCCGGCCTTGGCGGCCATATTGGATTTCTGATTGACCCGAAAAATATCAACACTTTGTCAGGACCTTGAGTTGATCATTCCTATTAAGTTTTAGTACAATCGACCCAGCAGAACTTGACTTAAAGTTTGAAATAGTTTTTCAAAATGCCGGCCTTGGCGGCCATATTGGATTTCTGATTGACCCGAAAAATATCAACACTTTGTCAGGACCTTGAGTTGATCATTCCTATTAAGTTTTAGTACAATCGACCCAGCAGAACTTGACTTAAAGTTTGAAATAGTTTTTCAAAATGCCGGCCTTGGCGGCCATATTGGATTTCTGATTGACCCGAAAAATATCAACACTTTGTCAGGACCTTGAGTTGATCATTCCTATTAAGTTTTAGTACAATCGACCCAGCAGAACTTGACTTAAAGTTTGAAATAGTTTTTCAAAATGCCGGCCTTGGCGGCCATATTGGATTTCTGATTGACCCGAAAAATAACAACACTTTGTCAGGACCTTGAGTTGATCATTCCTATTAAGTTTTAGTTCAATCGACCCAGCAGAACTTGACTTTAAGTTTGAAATAGTTTTTCAAAATGGCTGCCGGTGCGGCCATATTGGATTTCTGATCAACCTGAAAAATAACAGCACTTGGTCAGGGAGATGTCAGTAACCTTCCCATGAAATATTAATGAAATCCCTTTGCCAGTATTTCAGCGTAAGTTGAAAATGTAAAATGTTAGCGGACGACGGACGAAGACGGATAGCAATAGGTCACTTGATACAATTAAGTAAATTTCATTATTTCCAATGTAAGGAAAAGGAATGGGCTTGTTTAATTACGGACAAAATGACTTTCAAAATGATAGTTGTATAATTATAATCAGCTTTGATTTATAATGTTAATAAGGTAACAGGTTGTTTCACCCTAAATCCTGTTCGCGCTAATGGTTGTTTCTCCCTAAATCCTGTTCGCGCTAAGGGTTGTTTTGACCTAAATCCTGTTGTTTCACCCTAAATCCTGTTCAGGCTAAGGGTTGTTTCACCCTAAATCCTGTTCACGCTAAGGGTTGTTTCACCCTAAATCCCGTTCGCGCTAAGGGTTGTTTCACCCTAAATCCTGTTCGCACTAAGGAATGTTTCGACCTAAATCCCGTTCGCACTAAGGGTTGTTTCGACCTAAATCCTGTTTGCGCTAAGGGTTGTTTCACCCTAAATCCTGTTCGCGCTAAGGGTTGTTTCACCCCGAATCCTGTTCCTGCTAAGGGTTGTTTCACCCCAAATCCTGTTCGCGCTAAGGGTTGTTTCACCCCAAATCCCGTTTGCGCTAAGGGTTGTTTCGACCTAAATTCTGTTCGTCCTAGCTATAGGTTGCCCTAAATGTATTTTTTTAAATTTATACTCTAACATAATAATTAATATTTAAATATATCAACTAAACTTATTGATGACTTTCTACATTAGTGTTAGGTATATTTCATTTAGAGTATATGTGATAGCGGAGTCAGCTTTTCACAGCTGCCGTTTGTCACACTCGGTTAAAAACAAGACCAACAATTTTTTTTGTGAAATTGATTTTAATGATATGGAAGACTTAATTTGTGACTTAAGGTGGCTCCACACTTTCGTAATTAACCAGCCAAATTCGTTGAAACTTTCAAATAATGGTTATGCAACTATGTAGAGTTGATTTTATGAAAATCTAAACATTCCGATAGTTTGGGGACTTTTTTGGAAAAAAATACCAAAAAGTTGAATTTTCGTCAATTTTAATATTTTCCGTTTTTTTTTTGTGTGTGACATTGTTCGGAACAATAACAACAATAATAAAATGAAAAGAAGCATTTCTAATTAACCCTACAAATATTTTATTTATTGCAAAATATGTAACACATGTTACACAAAGTATTTTTTATTGAATTTGTACGGATAAAAGTGATTATCTACAAGCTAAAAGCAAACAGGACACAAAGATCTATACATATAGAATGGGAAATTGAACAAAATATACACAATGGCTTTATAATTAATTTATTTTACATTTTACAATCACTTCGATCCGGGTGAGAGTTATCTTCCTTGAAAAAAATCGGAACTTTTTGCAGAGGGGTGACATTTACACAATGACAGTTGTCTCTGTTTACATATAACAAAAATGATGGAAATAAATCAAAAATATGATATCAAAATTATCAATTTATTGTTCTTTAATGGAACCAAATTACCCTCAGTCATGTACACTTTGGACATCATTCCACAGTCCGCTAACTCACGGTATATTTATAATTACATGTCAGGTACATATGTGACCAGAGGCTATCGCATGGTATGCCGTTCTCACGTGCCCTCACACATGCATTTCATAGGTATCTTGATATTTTACAAAACATTATTTTCACAGAGTAAGTAGACTACATTTGTAAACACGATTTAATCGACAGAGCGAAACTCCCTCAGCTTATGAACTCGTGTAAGCACGTGATATGCACATATGAGGTTGGTACGTCCGCATTCCATGTGTTTCCTATATGACCTTCTTGAGGTCGTCTGGTCTCATGTCACTGTCTTCCCGTGAGTCTGTTTATGTCTATGAATTGGAAAGCTTTATTCCTGAAGTACGTGTTATTATACAATTCCCGGTAAAATCTCGATATCGGGTGTTGACATATCATCGGCACGCACGTGTACTATTGTTTACCAGGGGCCTGTTCGTTTATGCGGAGCAACCGGTTTGACCGTTTATAAATGTAACAATTTCGGGCATAAATCCTGGCGGACCTGCAAATGTGTATGCAGGCCTTGCAAGGCTTTCTCAAGGCTCACCTGAAAGCAGCATCAGATTACTAGGTCCGACCTTCTTTAAAAAACGAACAACAGTGGTCCGATCGGTTTGACCGTTTAAAAGAAAACGGCCCAGGTGTTACTAAAATTTGCACTACGATACTGAATGCCCGATACGCAATACGGAAATGACGACACAGTGTACATGCACATCTCGATCAAGATAATTGAGTCCAAGCTGTACTTTTTCCGGAAGTACATCCGAAAATGGACGCTGATGATGATGTGTGGAGCCACCTTAAAACAACTAAAATTGAAAGAAAACACCAAACAATGTTTCGCCCTAACATTTTTGGTTTCACGGCAAAGCAACCTAGGATAAACAGGATCTCGGGCGAAACAACTCGGAACCCTTAAGAAACGCAACTTAACCACTAGTCCGAATTATTCTGACGTTTTGTCGACTTTTTTTATATTGGTCTGTCGTCGACTTTCAATCCATGTGCGACATGTGTGTGAAAGTGACGATTTGTTTCTAAAATATCAGTTTGAAGAGCGATCCTGGCACGGGTCACTTATTTCCTGCAGATGATAGTGGACCGGAGTTCTGACGTTAATCGACGACAGAACGATATAAAAAAGTCGATAAAACGTCAGAATAATTCGGACTACTTTAACACTTACTGCAGCTTTTTTTTGTTAGTTTTTATGATTTGAAGACTAGATGAAATGGACAAGACATAAGCATTGATATGCACGATATGTTCATTATATTTTTTTATTCCAAAACAAATTACAATTGAATGCATTAAATTGTATTAAGCAAGGACGTGTGCTATTCTAGATCTGGGTACAGGCCCATAAAATCCAAAGAAATTTCCTCGGGGCCATCAACACAATTCTGATGACGTAGGCTTTGCTGGATGTGAAGGACTTGGTATTCCGACATTAATTTTACCCGACGATTCAGCGTCCGGAGCTTGATTAGAAAATGACACTGGGATGCATGACATCATCGCAAACCCATAAACAAACTGTATTACATGGATCATATTACCTTATCCGTGTTGAGATCAGGTTCGTCTTGGACAAGTCTGTATAGGAAAGACTTTGGGTCTCTACAAAGGGTTGTCCTTGTTGTCATAAAAACAGTTCCTCCCACGTTTAATTTTACCCATTGACTTTTTCTACTTGTGGATGTTGAGCATTCTGGTACATTATTGACACTCTCCTTTTTCGGTTCTGTTGCCATTTCAAATGTGCAAATGCCACGTAAGAGCCTTGTGCTATCCTTACGGATGTGCAAGATCAGGACGCTGTCCCTGAAATATGATTATTACGGTGACGAAATGTCATTTAGTTATTCTGATATTCTGTCCTCTCACAACTGATGAATTAAAATCTTATCTGGGTTTATAAAGCGCTTCTCCAAAGTCCTGACATTTCAAACATATGAATGACCAAGATTTTTGACGGGGACCCAAATAACTCGTTCAATACACGCCACTGGCTCGATCGGACCGACTGTGCCCTTGATACCGCCATCATGACGAGCAGAAGATTGGCGAAGTCCGCCGTCAACTGGAAGGCGTTTGGCGAAAGAGTGTCAGATGCCAACTTGCCATATTTCAAGAAATTCAAGAATTTGTCCGCTACTTATTCAGGAAAGTAAGTGTCGAACAAAGGAGAGGCTTCAAACTGTTATCTGAACCCCCCCCCCTTTCTTCCGACAGGTTGGTTAATCGGTGTTGTTTGAAGTCGGCTAATTGTTGCAGTCTGTTGTCCACAACTTTAAAATCAATTGTTCCGAGGAGGTTCAATGACAAATGCTTTTAATTTTGGTTAAAAAAACCTGTCCCAATATTTTCGAAAATTGTTTGTCAGATAGGGTTCAAGGTCATCTTATTCCAGATCATTTTTGCTGAAGACTTTTACTTCTTCTACCACTTGGTGGCCACCATCAATCAGTTGATCATTCTGTCACTTGCTGTGCGATGCGCTAAGTTAAGGTGCAGAGTTAAAAACTTGATAAAAACAGTTTGAAGGATTCAAGACTCAGCGTCTACAGTGCTAGCGGTTAGCACATTCCAATCACGGATGGTTCTTGAATCTTGGGTAGAAAGACTCCTTCCTTAACTTGGTGTTGCATGATGGACTTTTGAAGGATTTAGCGTGCATATTTCTGCTATGACGTGTTGGAGGTAGGAGTTTCCCTGTGGCATCAATCTTGACTTGGTTATTGCTGACCTTATAAAGTAGCCCTAGCCTCGCGTTTCCCCCTCTTTCCTCAAGTGATTCCCATTCCAGGTCTTTCATAATTTCTGTGACAGATGTTGGACTGTGATACACACAGTGTTTTTTGGTGTATCAGGCGGCCCGTCGTTGTACCATCTCTAATGTTGGGTTTGCTGATGTTAAGGTTCCTCTTCAGAAAGCTGATGGCGTAATTAGCCTTTTTACACATATAAGAGATGTGTAGGTTCCATTTCAGGTCTGTTGTAATTGTGACACCCAGGTACTTGGTAGATGTTACTTGCTCTAGAGTATGTGAATGAAGTTTATATTCTCTCTTGATGGTATTCCTTTTCTTGGAGGTAGTAATGACGTTACACTTGTCAGGATGGAAATTCATCATCCAGGTGGTTTCCCATTGAGCTTGACTGTCAAGATCTTCCTGGAGATGTTCACCATCTCCCTGGGGTACATGATAGTATCGTCTGCAAATAGGGGAACTTTGGATCTTATATTCTCCGGAAGGTCATTTATATAATAAAGGAACATGCTGGGACCAAGAACCAAGTCTTGAAAGACTCTAGACTCAACTTCTACAAAGCGAGATGTTTCTCCTTCCACTAATACAGCCTGTTTCCCAAGAAGCTCTATCCATCTATTTGTCTTGCCTTTGATTCCATAGTGATGTAACTTATGTGTCAAGAGACTGGCTGACCTTGTCAAAGGCTTTACTAAAGTCCATAATCAAACAGTCTGTTTACCTTCATCAATGTTTCTGGTAATGTCATCTATGAACTCCGCCAGTTGAGTGTCGCAGGATAGCCCTTAATCCATGTTGCAGGTTGTATAATATACTGTTGCAATCAGCATGCTTCATGATGTGACTAATTACTATGTGTTCCATGATCTTACATACTACACATGTCGTTGATACTGGTCTATAATTGATGGACTCAAATTTCTTTCCTTTCTTAAAGATCGGGCATACTAACAGTACGCTATATAGATCATACTTCCCCTGTGTTGTATGAGCTGTTGAATATGATGGTAAGTATTGGTGCTATGTCTGCGGCAAGTTCCTTCAAGATTATTGGTGTTAAATGATCTGGTCCAGCAGCTTTGTTTACCTTCAGGTTATGCAGAAGTTTATAGACTCCATTTTCGGTTATGTGTATGTCAAATTCAGTTTGATTGAGTGTTGTTCCAGAAAAGAACGCTTTAAAAATTGGTTGTTAAGAATGTTGGCTTTGTCGACCGAGTTTGGGTGGAGCAGTCCTACATCTTTTAGAGGTGGTATGTTGTTTCCGTCCGAGGGTTTGTGTTTGATGTACATCCACAATCTTTTCTTACATCCATACATGTTGTTTTCACTCTGCTCTGTAGTCTGTGGTGTTACTATATCCTCTACATATTTCCAGTATGCTCTTCATAGTTGTCTTTGTGTTTCCTGCTTAAGATCATTATATTTGAGCTTATCTTCCTCACATCCTGATTTTTTCTTTCTTTTATACCCTCTGTCCCTTTTGCGGATAAGACTTTTCAGTTCCTTTGTAACCCATGGGCAACCGTCTTTCTTACTACTAGTCTTGTGTTGATTTTTAGAATTTTTTTTTTTTACCAAGTCTCTGTTTATCAAAGAAGTTTCTACTTTGGGCAAGTGCATTTTAAGATCCACTGATCCACTGGCCCATTTCAAAAATATCTTTCTTGTCCTGCAATAGTCAATTATAAATAGTATTGTCATAGTTATCTACTTTTACATTAGTAAACCATCATTATTATGCTGATATGGTGAATACATTTGTGATTGACAGTAAAATGTATCCTTACCTTCATGTGTAGACAAATTTGTCCAAGTGAAAGGATTTTCTTTCCCATTGGAGTACCAGTGCAACCTGTGAATGTTCCTAATATGTCTCTGACATATTTTCCTAATATGTCTCTGACATATTCTCAATAGAATTCAACAGACTGGGATCTATTTACATAAATAAGTCATTGTCACACTATAAATAAAAATAAAAGAATTTAAATGATAATAGAAGCAAGCACAACATATTTTTTCTCAAAAATAACATTGTACAGGGGCAATGATCTGTCATTCTATGCAATTGCAATATAATTTATTCAGTGAGCTGGTGTAAGTTCACATATATGTACCAACTACCCTCACCCAAGAAAAAAAATGCTTTTATTCTCGCATGATTTCATCTTAGTGTCTGTAATACAGCTTTAAAAACTGAGCCATTTTGTCACTAGCATCGTCCATAGCATTTTACTTTGAAGCATATTTTCTTTCTTTTTTCAGAATCTCCCAACTCCCAGATGCTTTACCCAAGATAGATTTTGCACACTACAAGTCTCTTGGTGCTCCTGCTGCTGCTGTGGACAGCTTAGAAAAGGCTGTAAGATTGCCTATTTATTGGAATGTCTAAGTCATATTCCTCATATCATTATGTTACAATTCAATATTCTCCTATTCCAAGGTATTGATTGTTACGTCATTTGTTTGTGAGAGTAACGTCATCAATTTTTGAGAAAACGGCGTAATTTTCTCACAAACCAATGACATAACAATCAATACCTGCTCACAAGAGAAGATAACTCTGCAATATGCAAAGACGGAATATTGATGTTCACCAATAACAAATATTTATTACATGTTCACCAGTGAAATGTCAGGAATTCTCCATTTGATGAAAAACTTGTATCTTCACTTGCTAACATTCTTGTTACTTCTAATGGAGTGGGAGAGAGCCCACGTCCTGGTGGTCTTCTGTCGTAGATCGGTTATTTTAGGATACCCAGCAGTATTCCACATATATATAAATAGAGCCCCATCACGGAATGTTAATACAAAGGATATAAATGATGGAGCATCAACATCTTGATTCTGTAGTTTTATCACCTGTTAACTGGTATATAAATTACCTGTTAACCAGTATATTACCTGTTAACCGGTAATAAAAACTACGGAATCCAGATGTTGAGGCTCCATCATTTATATCCTAAGCATTATGTTATTTGGAACATTTATATACTTGTTAATTCACATTACTTGTTAGCACTTACTGTTGATATGTTACTTGTTGATACTAACATGTTACTTATTAACACTTATATACAGTTTGTTACTTGTTAACACTAAAATGTCTGTTTTGCAGTATGGATCTGCCAAAATTTCGTACCCAGTTGACACCAGCAACACCGTTGCAAAAATTGACCAGGAGTTTGGTGAAATGGTATGTATGTTTCACATGGTTGATGCATTGTATGCTGTAATCCTTGGAATTTGGTGGTTTACTGATGACTAAGTATGATCATGTGAAGTGTACATGCACACATACACACAAAAGTTAAGCCTTCAACAATTAGGCTTAACTTCTGTGTGTATGTGTGCATGTACACTTATTGAACTTTTTCAATAAATCTTATTTAGATTACTTCATTTTGTGTTATGCATATACATGTACCCTTAAATCAGAATTGGAGTATGTCTTGACAAGACCAAAGGCTCTTCACACAACATCTTGCAGATGGTATAAGTACACTAGTCATGTTTTTGATGTAGTTATAGATCAGAGGAATCACACTACAGCATTACAGTAAATTTGACATGCTTTGAATTTGGGTGTAGCTCCTCAGATTTTCAAAAGCCAGGTATCAGCCTAACAATAATCTGCCTCAAACTTTCGATTTTGACATGACATATTCCATATAAGTATTGAGAGCAGAGCCCTTGGTTGAAAAATGAACACCCTCTGACATGACATGTTCAGATGTATGGTTATGAAACATGTTGTAGTACTATACTGAGTTTAGCTTTTTGGAACTTTTTGTGTCCGAAGAAAAAGTTCAACAGCTACAAGGAAAAAGCAATGTACTTATGTTGTAAATATTTTGTCAGTGTGTACATACCTTGATGTGCCCTGCAAGTTTAATCCACATACATGTAGGGAGACAAGCACACCTTAACTAAAAACCATTATGTGAACTTCAAGATATACATGATGTATATAATCTTTAATCTTTACAAGTTTGATGTCAATTTTGAAATTTCAGAAAACAAAAAGGACTGAATTTATACAAGAGCAGAACCAGGCTATTGAATCATTATCCAAAGTGGTAAGTATTTAATCAATTCATTGAAAACATAGCTTTTAGCTTTATCATTACACAGAGTACTGTGCCTATGTCTCCCCCAATAAAGTTACATGTGGCCACCGCTATGTGTATAAGCGGTACGGTGACAAACTTATCTCCCCTGATGATATTACCTGTGTCGCTTATATGAATCAGCGGCGTTGAATTAGCTGCTCTACAATAATATTTTTGATGAGCCATGTGTATATTGTGGCGTTGAAAATGCCTTCCTCCTATAAGTGTTACATAATACCAGTTGATATTTCAAGTGTTCTGATGTACTCTGCTGGTTAGCTTAACATGTATTGCAGGATATATAACAAAACAAAAAAAATCTTTTTACTGATGCCAACAAACTTGAAGCAAGGGGGATGGGCATATTACCGGGCACCCACCCTATGCACAGAAAGTAAGGAAAAGTGGGGATTGGCTTATTACCAGGCATGGGCTTGTCACTGGTAAAATACAGTGGAATCTGTATTAATGATCACCCAAGGGAAGCTAATTACACAACTGCCCAAACGCACGTTCAACAGATCAGATGAATAACTAAACAATAGTCGAATGATAATTATGACAGTAAACAAACAATTTAGAGTTTTTGAGAAGAATTGTCATTTCACTCAGAACAAAAGATCGACAGAGACTTGTTGAAGTTCTCAACTTACACGACTGTGTTTTCGGTAATTACCATGATTTAAGCTATTTAAACTTGTTACAAAAGATATTGTTGTTGAAAAGATAGCGGTTCCTGTATTGGTCCAACAGATGAGTTCACGTGTATTGTTCCTTTATTTTACGATGGAAACTGGAAAGAGAGTCCAGTTAAAAAATTGACATAAATAAAGCTAACAGCATGTTGCTGAAAAACGGACCGGTATTATTGTCGTATATACACATATTGGACATTGTGAGACAACTACATCAATGCTGCATTTACCGCACTAGAGCTAGGAAGAAGTCCTCTTGTTACTTAAAAGCCTTTTTTCTGAATAACCAATGGGCTTAGTGGATGTTATTTAGCCAGTAGAAAACTGGGATGCAAGACGTGTTTAATTAAATGCCTTGACCAACTTCAAACAAATTTCAAATTATTTGAAACCTTTCAAATCCCTTCTTTTCAATAATAGCTCGCTGGGCTGAGGGGCTATCTATTTTGTTCAAAGGATGGTTTAATTTTGACCCATTCACAAGGTCACTGGGGGTCTAATGTGTTGAACTTTTAAACATATTATTCTGGATATCCAAGAGATGTAGAGTGATGATACTTGGAAAGTATCGTGCTGGGATGAAGGGCTTATGAGTTCCATTAAAAAGAAAGACCTTAACATAATTGACACCAATTAAATGAGTTTGAAATTATCTTTCTGTTGGACCCCTCATAAAATGAAATCGGTATCAATTCCGATATGAACCTATAAATACAAAATTTCACTATATTTCACACTTCAGTGCATGCTCAACTCGATTATCATTCAGTGTATATCCAGGTACATGACCTTTGAATGTCACATCAATTACTCCCAGCTGAGTGATACAGGACCATTGGGCCTCTTTTTAACAGATTTTGGTCAAACATTATATAATGTTCAGTCAAGTATGAAAATGTGTTTGAAAGTGTTTGACTAAGTTTGTTTTTACTTCATATAATTTGAATTTCCAAAATTTATTGAATAATGTCGATGAGCAAGATTTACTAATAAAGCCTTTAAGCACTGACATATTTTGCAGATCTGAACTGTCTGTATCAAACACTGGTGAGTGAGGTTAAAAAAATGATGACTTAATTGTAACATTTCAGAAATTAAGTAAGGTTCACTGAATACCCGTAACATTAGAACAGTGCATGGTCAAATATCTAAACTTGACTCGTGGTTTAATACAGGTATCACTCTTTGTTTGCTATTTGATTATTATTAAGGAGTGTATACTATAACCCATAGCAAACTCCGTAGTTGACCTAAAGACAGAACTATTATAAGACACATGCACTGCAGGACATATATGGAACCCCTTCTACCAATAGACATTTAGAAGATATTGCAACAGTCATATACTCAAACAACCAGATCATAGGGATTAGGCCATGACAGCCACGTTGGCTTTTAACAAGAACACTTTGCCAAAAGCTGGTTTCAAATATCCTGAAAATATTTGGTTGTACCACCTCTGAGAGAGAGAAAAAATCAGAATATTGATGACACAGGCATAGAAATTGTAAACCTCAAATTAATTTTGACAAATTGAAAAGGTTTATAACCTGCATATGAACTAAACAATGTATTGTATTGTATTCCTTCTTCTTGTAAAAAAAATGCACAATCTCATTGCACTATTTATTGGTTTATTTGAAATATATATATATATATAGGGATCAGTAAACTGAGATATTCAAGTCTATGTATTACATGTTCATACTGTGACAGCAATAAAACATACTGTACAACTGGATTTATTTGACAGTTTTGATATCTGTGGTATAGACAGTTGACATCTGAAATAATGTTGGTTCGTATTTCTTTTGTATGCCAAAAAATCAAGTTTTTTCTTGTGTTGTAGGTAGATGCATGCAAGAAAGCATTCCCACCAAAAGATGAATGGACCCAACAGCTGTATTGTGCCTACTTCCCAGATTCTATGGTTTTGCCACAAGAGAGACCAACATTTTGGCCACATACAATGTTAAACAAGGAGTTCTTTGGAGAGGAAGCTGACGGTACGTATAACAATGAGAATGTAGAGAATGACATCAACTCCTTAAGAACTAGTTTTCCAAAAGTTGAGCTTTGTTATCTTCTATAAGTGTTTCTTCTCACTTTGACATTGTCCTTCCCTGTGATATAATCATAATCTGTAATCCTGACTATATGTCTTTTATTAACCAAAATGGCTAGGGTTGTGATTTTTGGCCAGTTGCTTGCAAGAAGTATAAAGGGCTACTAAACGTATTCAAACGAATGACCTTAACTTATATGCAAGGTCACAAGTGTCAATTATCTAAAAATTCTTTAATCTTGTAATACTTTCAATGTCACAGGGGTAAAATATATTCAAGTTTGGTAAAAGGTTTTTAGCTCACCTGGCCCAGTTTGAGACAGAATTTTCTGACATACCCTGAGTTTCATATAGTAAATGGTCTTGTTTAAATGTTTTTCCTATCTTGCAGAAGTCAGCCAGCCAACCCTTGAAATGGACCTTACAAGTTTGCCTTGGTTCAGGCTACCCTATCCTGATACGGTTAAGAATACATACATAAAAGGCAGAGAACCTGATTTGGTCGACCAGTATTTAAGTATTGGTTACAAGCCTTCTAAGGAAGAGCTGAAGAAACTGGAGGCAGAGTGGCCTGCAATATCAGAAAAATATTGGGCTGGCTATTGGGGGGGAAGGAAACAATTTGTGAAAGAGCATTTGGATAAAAAGGCGGAAATGAAGGCGTTTAATAAGGAACAGAAAGCAAAATCTAAAGCATTAAAAGAAGCAAAGAAAGCAAAGCTAGCTGAAGAAGCTAAACTAAAGGCATAAAGCTAAACAAGCATGCTAAAAGCTGAAGTAGCTTAAGGGACAAAGCTAAATTTGAAGTGGACATGAGAAATGACACTGATCAATGTTGTTATCTTAACTTACGAAAGAGGAATCAGACATTCTTTTTTTTATGTCAAACCTAACAAATTTACAGTTTCTTTGTAGTGGAAATGATTAAAATTGGAAAAATTGTGACTATGCTCTTATCTCTCATCTTTAATTTCAAGGTCTGAACACATGTACAGTGGTTAAGAATACAGTGGTAAACATACACATTCTAAACTGTGTGTAGGTATACAGTGGGAAATATACACATTTTGTAGCAAACTATGGTATACAGACCGAAATATGCACATTCTGTAGCATCCTATGTTATACAGTGGGAAATATGCACATTCTGTAGCATCCTATGGTATACAGTGGGAAATATACACATTCTGTAGCAAACTATGGTATACAGTAGGAAATATACACATTCTGTAGCATCCTATGTTATACAGTGGGAAATATACACATTCTGTAGCATGCTATTCATACAGTGGGAAATATACACATTCTGTAGCATCCTATGGTAAACAGTGGGAAATATACACATTCTGTAGCATCCTATGTTATACAGTGGGAAATATTCACATTCTGTAGCATCCTATGTTATATAGTGGGAAATATACACATTCTGTAGCATCCTATGTTATATAGTGGGAAATATACACATTCTGTAGCATCCTATGTTATACAGTGGGAAATATGCACATTATGTAGCATCCTATGGTATACAGTGGGAAATATACACATTCTGTAGCATGCTATTTATACAGTGGGAAATATACACATTCAGTGTCCTCGGTAACATTACAGTATTATATATAGAGGATATCTAACAGTATCCTCAGTAACATAAGTGTATTATACATAGAGGATATCTTACAGTGTCCTCAGTAATATAAGTGCAGTCTACATAGAGGATATCTTGGAGTGTCCTGAGTAATGTAAGTGTATTATACATAGAGGATATCTAACAGTGTCCTCAGTAACAATAGTGTATTATACATAGAGGATATCTAACAGTGTACTCAGTAACGTTAGTGTATTATACGTAGAGGATATCTAACAGTGTCCTCAGTAATGTTAGTGCAGTATACATAGAGGATATCTAACAGTGTCTTCAGTAACGTTAGTGTAGTATACATAGTGGATATCTTACAGTGTCCTCAGTAACGTTATTAGTGTATTATACATAGAGGATATCTAACAGTGTCCTCAGTAATGTTAGTGCAGTATACTTAGAGGATATCTAACAGTGTCTTCAGTAACGTTAGTGTATTATACGTAGAGGATATCTAACAGTGTCCTTAGTAATGTTAGTGCAGTATACATAGAGGATATCTAACAGTGTCTTCAGTAACGTTATTAGTGTATTATACATTACATAGAGGATATCTAACAGTGTCCTCAGTAATGTAGTGCAGTAAACATATTGGATATCTTACAGTGTCCTCAGTCATGTAGTGCAGTATACATAGAGGATATCTAACAGTGTCCTCAGTAATGTTAGTGCAGTATACTTAGAGGATATCTAACAGTGTCTTCAGTCACGTTAGTGTATTATACGTAGAGGATATCTAACAGTGTCCTTAGTAATGTTAGTGCAGTATACATAGAGGATATCTTACAGTGTCCTCAGTAATGTAGTGCAGTATACATATTGGATATCTTACAGTGTCTTCAGTAACGTTAGTGCAGTATACATAGAGAATATCTTACAGTGTCCTCAGTAACGTTAGTGTAGTATACATAGTGGATATCTAACAGTGTCCTCAGTAACGTTAGTGCAGTATACATAGAGAATATCTTACAGTGTCCTCAGTAACGTTATTAGTGTATTATACATAGAGGATATATAACAGTGTCCTCAGTAATGTTAGTGCAGTATTTAGTGCAGTATACATAGAGAATATCCAACAGTGTCCTCAGTAATGTAGTGCAGTAAACATATTGGATATCTTACAGTGTCCTCAGTAATGTTAGTGCAGTATTTAGTGCAGTATACATAGAGAATATCCAACAGTGTCCTCAGTAATGTAGTGCAGTAAACATATTGGATATCTTACAGTGTCCTCAGTCATGTAGTGCAGTATACATAGAGGATATCTAACAGTGTCTTCAGTAACGTAAGTGCAGTATACATAGTGGATATCTAACAGTGTCCTCATTAGTGTTAGTGCAGTATACATATTGTATATCTTACAGTGTCCTCAGTAATGTTAGTGCAGTATTTAGTGCAGTATACATAGAGAATATCCAACAGTGTCCTCAGTAATGTAGTGCAGTATACATATTGGATATCTTACAGTGTCTTCAGTAACGTTAGTGCAGTATACATAGAGAATATCTTACAGTGTCCTCAGTAACGTTAGTGTAGTATACAGGGGGGATATCTGACAATGTCCTCAGTAACATTAGTGTATTATACATAGAGGATATCAACAGTGTCCTCAGTAACGTTAGTGTAGTATACATAGAGGATATCTGACAATGTCCTCAGGTATACAGTGGGAAATATGCACATTCTGTAGCATCCTATGGTATACAGTGGGAAATATACACATTCTGTAGCATCCTATGGTATACAGTGGGAAATATACACATTTTGTAGCAAACTATGGTATACAGTGGGAAATATACACATTCTGTAGCATGCTATTTATACAGTGGGAAATATACACATTCAGTGTCCTCAGTAACATTAGAGTATTATATATAGAGGATATCTTACAGTGTCCTCAGTAATGTTAGTGCAGTATTTAGTGCAGTATACATAGAGAATATCCAACAGTGTCCTCAGTAATGTAGTGCAGTAAACATATTGGATATCTTACAGTGTCCTCTGTTATGTTAGTGCAGTATACATAGAGGATATCTTACAGTGTCCTCAGTAATATAAGTGCAGTATACATAGAGGATATCTTGCAGTGTCCTGAGTAATGTTAGTGTAATATACATAGAGGATATCTAACAGTGTCCTCAATAACAATAGTGTATTATACATAGAGGATATCTTGCAGTGTCCTGAGTAATGTTCGTGTATTATACATAGAGGATATCTAACAGTGGATATCTAACAGTGTCCTCATTAGTGTTAGTGCAGTATACATATTGGATATCTAACAGTGTCTTCAGTAACGTCAGTGTATTATACATAGAGAATATCCAACAGTGTCCTCAGTAATGTAGTGCAGTAAACATATTGGATATCTTACAGTGTCCTCAGTCATGTAGTGCAGTATACATAGAGGATATCTAACAGTGTCTTCAGTAACGTCAGTGTATTATACATAGAGAATATCCAACAGTGTCCTCAGTAATGTAGTGCAGTAAACATATTGGATATCTTACAGTGTCCTCAGTCATGTAGTGCAGTATACATAGAGGATATCTAACAGTGTCTTCAGTAACGTCAGTGTATTATACATAGAGAATATCCAACAGTGTCCTCAGTAATGTAGTGCAGTAAACATATTGGATATCTTACAGTGTCCTCTGTTATGTTAGTGCAGTATACATAGAGGATATCTTACAGTGTCCTCAGTAATGTAGTGCAGTATACATAGAGGATATCTAACAGTGTCCTCAGTAACGTTAGTGTAGTATACATAGAGGATATCTGACAATGTCCTCAGTAACATTAGTGTATTATACATAGAGGATATCTAACTGTGTCCTCAGTAACGGTAGAGTATTATATATAGAGGATATCCAACAGTGTCCTCAGCAATGTAGTGCAGCATACATAGAGGATATCTGACAGTGTCCTCAGTAACTTTAGTGTAGTATACAGGGGGGATATCTGACAATGTCCTCAGTAACATTAGTGTATTATACATAGTGGATATCTAACAGTGTCCTCATTAGTGTTAGTGCAGTATACATACAGGATATCTAACAGTGTCCTCATTAGTGTTAGTGCAGTATACATAGAGGATATCTAACAGTGTCCTCAGTAACGTTAGAGAATTATATATAGAGGATATCCAACAGTGTCCTCAGTAATGTAGTGCAGTATACATAGAGGATATCTAACAGTGTCCTCAGTAACGGTAGAGTATTATATATAGAGGATATCTAACAGTGTCCTCAGTAACGTTAGTGTATTATACACAGAGGATTTCTAACAGTGTCTTCTGTAACGTTAGTGTATTATACATAGATGATATCTAACAGTGCCCTCAGTAATGTTAGTGTATTATACATAGAGGATATCTAACAGTGTCTTCAGTAATGTTAGTGCAGTATACATAGAGGATATCTAACATTGCCCTCAGTAACGTTAGTGTATTATACAAAGAGGATATCTAACAGTGTCTTCAGTATCGTTAGTGTATTATACATAGATGATATCTAACAGTGCCCTCAGTAACGTTAGTGTATTATACAAAGAGGATATCTAACAGTGTCTTCAGTAATGTTAGTGCAGTATACATAGAGAATATCCAACAGTGTCCTCAGTAATGTAGTGCAGTATACATAGAGGATATCTAACAGTGTCTTCAGTATCGTTAGTGTATAATACATAGAAAATATCTAACAGTGTCCTCATTAACGTTATTAGTGTATTATACATAGAGGATATCTAACAGTGTCCACATTAACGTTATTAGTGTATTATACAAAGAGGATCTCTAACAGTGTCTTCAGTAGCGTTAGTGTAGTATACATAGAGGATATCTGGGAGTGTCCTCAGTATCGTTAATGTATTATACATAGAGGACACTGTTAGATACTTTCTATGTATTATACACTAACGATACTTAGGACACTGTTAGATATATCGTTAATATCGGTTTATATCGGTGGACACGTGATGCACTCCTGGCCAATCACTTGTCTGGAATAATATGAAAAAATAATAATGTAACGTTAGTGTATTATACATAGAGGATATCTAACAGTGTCCTCAGTATCGTTAGTGTATTAAACATAGAGGATATCTAACAGTGCCTTCAGTAACGTTAGTGTATTATACAAAGAGGATATCTAACATTGTCTTCAGTAACGTTATTAGTGTATTATTCATAGAGGATATCTAACAGTGCCTTCAGTAACGTTAGTGTATTATACGTAGAGGATATCTAACAGTGTCCTGAGTAACGTTATTTCATTATACATTGAGGATATCTAACAGTGTCCTCAGTAAC